TAAGAACACTCTTTGGACTCTGGAGCTCACACAACATGGGCATATTATGCAAACATTCTGCAATTTGTCCACCGGAGGCGCCCGTGATCTTCCGAGTTCAGCTGTATGGGGTGCGTGTGTTTCTATTCCTATGGAGCATCGACCGCGCTAACCGGCTGACCAATTAAAAGACGTCAGTGCTTGGCGGGTAAAATCAAGGTCCCTGGAGCGAGGCCAAAATTCGAAAAATGCGCAATCATGCTAATTGCGAATGCCAATACGACCCTCTACATAGACTAATCTTTCACAGAGACACACATCTCAGCTACACAAATGCCCTCGCTCGAACCTAGGAAGCCGCTGATGCAAAGAGCGTGCGTGTGTGTGTCCGTGGTAAGCACCTTACTGAGTGACACGAGCAGATTTAGACCAAAAGCTCTAGTGGAGACGAGAGCCAGGGATAAAGGAGATGATGGGCACGCTGCCATCGCTGCTACGGGCCGAGTCGGGAAAGCAAGGCCAGGAGGGGAGGAGGGGTCGGCGGCGTTGAAAAAGGGCGCCGCAGGTGCGGGGGAACTGGTGCGGTTCTCCCGAGCTGCATCCCGCGTGGTCGTCAGGGAGGGCGACACTGCTGGAGGACAGAGAGCAGCAGTAGGTCGGGCGTGGAAGACGTCCTGGTGTGGGCTGTGGAAGTCCCTGCTGAAGGTGGGTTTGGTCATAAGAGTCGACAACACCGATTCTCTCCGTAGAAATTGGCGGCGCTGTATACAGCAGCGTTGCCGCAGGGGGCACTACAGGGATATTCTGTCGTGCGAGGGAGGGTGGCTTACCATAGGTCGCGCGGGGCACCGCGCTCCCCATCAGCAGCTGGAAGGCGGCTGGTGGGATGCTAATTCAACAATTGTGAAATTAGTGGAGCTATAGACACGACAAAGGCGTTGTGTGCCTTTTCGCCAGGCCGCTACACCGAGGGACACCGGGACGCCGAGCAACATCGGGTGTGGGTGGATGGAGAGGGGAAGCGAAAAGGGATCAGCTGCGCGGCGCGGTCGTCGGCACTGCTGTTAATTCTGGTTGGTTTTGGAATTTATTTTGCTTTCTTGTGTGTGGAATCATGCAACGATGGGCGTTTGTCTTTCACGGAATAGTCTAGTCACAGCAGTAGTAGAGGCGCTTTCTAAGGTTGTTTGAAGAAATCGCTGTTTGTTGCTGTGTGAGGGATGCGAGAGGGTGAAATGTTCCCATCGTCCACATGCTTGAGTTTCACGGAGCCACCACTTTCATTCTTAGCTGGCGTGCCTGTGTGGCTGCAGAATACGGAAGGGTGACGACGCGCCAATTTGTTTCGGAGAGTTTTAAGCTTGGAGAGTTCACTCCCGGCGTGGAGATATTCTGCAATTTGACAGGTTAGACTAGACTAATTGTCATCCACGCTCAAGTCTAGAATGCAACGTGCGTTTGGCTTGCTTCGATGATGATGGTGCAGTTTCACCGAAAGAAAGACTGCAGAGACGGTAGCATTCAGATATTCAGATGGAGCTTCATGTTTGATTGAGGTGGAACTCTTTCGGTCTAGCAGGTATTTGATTACGGCTGGTAGTGTGGGACTCTCGGATGTTGTTGGACTGACTCTTCTGGTGACGGTATTGGTTGTGATACGGAGCATGCTGTATCATTTTTTCTGTGTTCTTTTTTCAGCGAATTCTTGATGATCGCCGTGTGTATGTACTTCTAGGGCATGTCGAGGAAAACTGTTACAACGTAGTCAGGCACAGTTTTCCATAGGTGCGACTGCGGCAACTGGCCTTCCGTAGACATATTACAGAAAGAAGAGATGGTACTCAGCAGAGAACATGAGCACAGAGTTGTAGCGGAGATAACTTGGCAGGCGAGACTGCTGTAGTCGTTTTTTTGTTCCGAACCCCGGAATTCTGGTACTAGGGCCAATACCCCGGAGACCCTCGGAACCTGCTGTGTTTGCTGCTTGTTTTTTGTATTGTTGTTGAGCTGAGACACAAGCGCGCCTTCGCCCCTTGTGCGCACTCTCATCTAGCACCNGCAACTGGCCTTCCGTAGACATATTACAGAAAGAAGAGATGGTAATTAGCAGAGAACATGAGCACAGAGTTGTAGCGGAGATAACTTGGCAGGCGAGACTGCTGTAGTCGTTTTTTTGTTCCGAACCCCGGAATTCTGGTACTAGGGCCAATACCCCGGAGACCCTCGGAACCTGCTGTGTTTGCTGCTTGTTTTTTGTATTGTTGTTGAGATGAGACACAAGCGCGCCTTCGCCCCTTGTGCTCACTCTCATCTAGCACCCATCAAAGCCTGACCAGGGAGTCAGTTGATAAGAACATCTATCTACATTTCTCTTTCCGAAGCTCGCTCGGGCCTACCGGTCTCACAGCAGTGTAACCTCTGTGATAGACTACAAAGTCTACGAGCTGCAGCAGCACCGCGGTGACAGCAGTGTAACCTTTGTGGTAGACTACAAAGTCTACGAGCTACAGCAGCACCGCCACCTCCGCTGCTGCAGAACGCCACATTTTTGTGAGGGCAGTCAGCTCACTCAGTAGTCTGATGGATAAGTCCATCTAACCTAAACAAGATATATCGCGGGAGTAGGAATCTCATCGGGGTCGCCCCTGTTCTAGGTATTGAAGCAAGGAAAAGCGCCTCCCCAGGGATGGTAGAGAGCGCACATTGAATTGAACACTAAGGAGGGCGAATGAAGTCGTCCCCAACTACTAGGCAGCTTGTTGCGCAAGGGAGGGCATCAGGCGTAGATGTGAGTGTTCTTGTTTGGAATGCAGACAGCAGAGTAGATAGCAGGTGCTTGTTTGTGGTTATTTGGTCAAGCACGTCGTACAGCCTCGCCAAGGGGTGGTGAGGACGTGGTCGTTTTCTTTTTCTCCGTGCTGCGCAAGTTTGGATCTTGTCAAGTCACCCGCGCGTGGGCGTGTAGAGCGAGCCGTGAGGGCGGTGATATGATAGTGTCGTGCCTTGATGTTGTAGTACGACCGTTGGAATCATTCGTGATATGAACGGCGTGGAGGCGTTCAGTTTCATAAGGGGTTTTGATCTGATGGCGGGTTTCCCCTCAATTTTAGCAAAGATAAAAATACAAACACAGAAAGACTACCCATTCGCGGTAAGACCCCAGTCGTTTCCCTTGATTTGTTTTTTACGTTGTTTTCGGTGTTTTTCCAGATATACTTTCGATGCATAGATGGTTGAGTCACTAGCGTGAATAACCAAGGGAGGGTGTTCGTGCGCGGAAGTAGATTGGTCGGATTGTACCGGTACTGGCGGTTGGAGCTCACACAACATGGGCATACACAAACACGTTGCGCAACGTCGTCCCCGACTCGAAACTTCTCCTGTGGATTGTTCGGAGTGTTTTGGCAACGCGCGCCTCTACCGCTTATCAAACACGCTGGAGCCCAACTAACCTCGTAGAGCGTATGCGGCCAATGCGTGTTGTCTCGAAGACTGCAGCCCCCGGCCACGGGCGGCTCGGCGTGCTCGTACAGGTTAGCGCTCGAGACAACGCCGTTCCATATTTCGCCATTGGTGTCCCACTGGACCGGAATGACCACCGTGACCCGTTGGTGAAGTCAAGTCTGCTGATGAACACGTCATCTTCTTCGTCCCTTTTCGCCGCAGAACACAAAAACACATGTATGAAGTATGTGAACTCACCTTAGCATATAGTTAATGCTTGGTAGAGCTCAAAGCTGGGGAGTCGATCGTAAAAACTGATAAACCCAAGTTTCCGATGAAAAGTTTGATGTCTGATACGATGTTACGATATAAGTGACAGTAGAAAAAGGTCCTACATATGTTGTTGTACTTCGTACTGGTTTAATATTCATGTAGAGTATGACACATTAAGTGAAAGTTTTCTGAGATGAATCTGCAATTGTCGGAAGGCAAAAAAAAAACAAAAATTGGTGAAGCGATTTACTACGTACCGTTGGCAGCCGAATCACGGATGAAGTCTCGTCGAGACGTTGTTCCCACAATCTAGAACTGTCCAACGGAATCTGGTCGATGTAGTAGCCGCGTTCAGTGTTTAGTTGCAGGTATTGAACGTTCGTGGAAAGGGTTAATTTTGTGCCGCCCAATCTAGCGCAGTAAAAGCTCTAGAGTCTAGAATCCAAGATATCTTTTATCTGTATTCCTCCCACAACGTATGCCTTTCATGCATTTACTATTATTGTGTTCGCCGGCGAGAACCAGTGACCAACGTTTAACGACTCACCAACAGTCATCGACGACGAGGTTTTCGTTGAGTTTCCACGCGGCGTAACCTTCCGACGGACACAGTTCGATGCCGCGGCCTTCGACCAACTGAGGGGTCGGATATTCTTCCTAGGGGTGACACACACATCATGCACGCACGACGAATGTGAACAGGTGCTTTGGGCTTCCAGAGCAACGGGGACTTGTTTGGTCTTTCTCGCACACGGTCTTCCTGCAGTCATGTGGTCTCGCAGCGGGTTCCACGTTCCATCAGCTCGTCGATTTCCATCGAATTTTGCTTACTCACGAAATACCTTCGAGGCGTGCAAGCACACGTGGACGTGTATCATAATTATGTACTTCTACATTTTTGTGGGTCGTCACCGGAAGAGGAAATTACTGCTGTGTTGATATGCTCTAATACAATTGCCAGCTTTGCAAGATACAATGATGGCATATTTAGTAGGGCACAACCCCGACATGTTGAAGAAGATTCAGTGTTTCGAAAGTACGGTGGAAATACTTCCGTACGTAGCTCAAGAACGGCATGATGAGTTCGAGCGTCTCCATGTGCGCTGATGGCGAGATTTCAAGAAATTTGTTATGTATGCAATTTCCGGCTTGTAGTAGAGACACTTTTTGCAGATCATCTGGCCGGTGACCCTTGCTTTTCGTTTGGCCATCAAAGCAAGCGTCAAAACCACCTTGCTTTTTGTCATTTTTTTCCCGACGTGTCCCGGCCGTCAAAAGGATTTTCTCTACTAGCCTAGTCTGTTAGATATACTCGCAGCGGTATCTGGTCGTGAGGATCCCAGGGGGACACGTGTTGGGAATTTCATGTGTTGAAGGGTACCACCGGCGTAGTCACGGGGACCCTTTGGGCGTGGTCGGTGCGATGATGAGGAAGGCTTGCGTGCGTGCTGCGCAATTCTTCCTCTTCTTCTTCTTCTTCTTCCCTCTCTCTCCACCACCACCGCCGTCTCTCTCCAATCAAGTTTCCTTCTCCTACTCTCTCTCCATCTCTCTCTCAACCTCTCTCTCTCGGCCTAACACGGCCGACTACCCAGTGCCCCAAAGCAACGTCCAGAACGTGCTTGCTGCACCCCGCGTAGTTTACCTTTCA